GCTCACCCGGTTGTGCGCCTGCAGCCGCCGGTGCCGCCGGAGCGCCCGCTTCCGCTTCCGGCCGCAGTGCGGCCCCGCCTCCATTGAACACGCCTTTCCGGCGTCCCGCCCGCGGCTGCCTGCGAGGCTCCGCCTCCTCTTAAAGGGGACGCGTCCTCGAGGTCCAAGTCTGACCCAGATGTTGACCGAATCCAAGCTATGAGCCTCCGCGGCGAGCCTGGGCCGAGCAGTGCAAGGTCTGAGCATGAGTTCGAGTCCCTGACCGGCTAACAAATCTCCCAAGGCTCAGGCTTCTGCAGAAGGGGACCCGGCGTGGCCCTCTCCCCAACGCAGCGTGATCAGTTGGCGCTCAGCACGTGCCGGCCACCAGGTTAAGAGTTCAGCGATTGAGGCAGCGAAGTGGCCCAGGTCTGCAGGGCCAGGGGCTGAGGTGTTCACCTGCTCGCCGGCCGATTGCTCGAAGCGCCCCCTCCCCCAGGGGCTGCAGGGTCAACTCCTGTCCTGAGGGTGGGGCTGGACACAGAAAGTAGCTCCATCGAGGTGCTATCTCTCCACGGGGAAGGTCACCCGTTTAACGCGCACCTACAGCACCGCAGAGGCAGCGGATGCCCCATGGTTGGCCAGGGTCCGAGTTCTGGCCCCAGTAGCTTGGAAAACACACCGGAGACAGGAGTGCCCAGACCTCGACAGGACGGAGTTAGGGCAGGACTGCGGCGCGTTGGCGCCCGTCAGGGCACTCACGGACCTCTGCCAGAAGACAGTACAAGCCAGTAGCTTTGGGGTGTTTTTGCGTGTTTACAGAGTGGGGTAACCACTGCCTCTAGTTGAGAACATTTTCCTCATTCCCAAAAGAAGCAGTCACCCAGCCTCTCCCCGGCCCCTGCTCCCACAAGCCCCTCCCTGTCCCTGTGGACCTGTCTGTCCTGGGCGTTTCATGTAATGAGGGCCCACCTAGTGGCCCCGTATCAGGGTTTTCTCCGTGTCCACAGCAGAGTCGTGTCCCCGTGTGGCTGGACTACGGTGTGTGTCCACACACACAGGCACGTGGGTCCTGCGAGATTTCTGTCACCAGAGAAAGTGAGAAATCACCTGCCCCCACTCTCGGGCTCCCAGAACCCACGTGCGGGCCCAGACCACTCCCCGCACCTTGAGATGGACTCGGGGTTCCAGAGGGAAGGAAGTCCCGCGTGGCAGGGAGAAGCCTCAGAGGACACAGAGGCATGACTGTGGGGACCCGCACAGACCCAGCGGGCCCGACTGCAGGCTGCGAGCGCACCTTCTGGGGACGTTCCGCTGAAACGTAATTCCTCCAACCAGTTGGGAGGAGTTCAGGCCGAGCAGGCCCAGAACTGCCCACATGGGCAGGGGTGACACTTGGAACGCCCAGCCCTCCCGGCTGCTCCAGCTGCCCACGGTGTCCGGCTGGGGGCTGATGTTCTGGGGGCTCACGGGCCTAGGGAAGGCAGTTCCCAAGTGTGGCACAGGGCGCTGGGGGCCCCAGCCTGAGGCCACCTGTATCATGGGGTCACAGAGGTCACAGGGGGCGCTCTGCCCCAAAGGAGTCTTTATTTGCAAACTCAGGTTGCAGTGGGGCCGGAGGTTTTGGGGTGGGGCCATTTTTCTCCGTCCACCTTTTTGGGCAGGGAAGGGGCTGTGCTTGTGGGGTACCGCCTTCCGCTCTCCCTACCTCTACCCCAAAATGTGGAACGAGACGTCCCCTCTCAGGCTCAGTCCTCAGGCCCTGCCCACAGGCCGCCAGCAGTCTGGCCAGGCTGTCACCCACCGGGGCCTAGGCAGGGGTGGCTACCAGCTGTCACTCTCCAAGTCAGGGCTTTGGTTCCAGGAGCAGCTGGACGTGGGAGGTGACAGGGAGACTCTCAGCCCACGCCTAAAATGGGTGGCCCCCGGGGGGCCTGCCACAGACGAAAGGGGTCCCAATGTCAAGGCCAGCTGGGCTGGGCTGCAGCGATGGGGACGGGGTGGCGGGCCTGGAGAGGAGCCCGGGGGCAGGCGGTGCCGCGGAGGAGGAGGCATGGGAGCTGGAGCACCCTCAGGGCGGGCCCTGCTGGTGCCCAGGCCCAGCCAGCACTGTCACCGGTCATGTCACGTCACCGCCTGCTGGGCCTGGGTGAAGAGCCTCTGAGGGCAGCAGAGGCAGAGGCGTCCCAGAGCTTCGGCGGGGCCGTGGCGTTCTGCGCAGGGCACGCGAGGGCGTCACGCCCTGGCTCCCCGCCGGGTCTCCCAAGCTGCCTGCCCGGGACGCACGCACACCTACCACCCACACCGGCCACTCACCCTGGCACAGCCCTCCGTGTCCCGCTGCACGCACGCACTGCCGGTCACCTGGGGGCCTGCGGGCCGCGCCGTCATGTCCTCGGCCGTGCCGTAGAGCAGCAGCGTGTAGCGGTACAGCGTCCCTGGGCAGGGGTGTGGCGGGCACGGGCGGGGGAAGCTGTGGGCAGCAGCTCCTGCCCTTCACGGCTTCCTCCCCAGGGGCTCCCGCCCGGAGGCCGAGGCTCAGGTGGGCCCAGCTGCCCAGCACCACCTGAGCACCCACTTCTCCCAGGTAACTGCGAACCTACTACGTGCTGTAGCTAAACCACGACAGGATGCTTTGATTGGGCACCTGCTGGTCCCAGCGAGCCGCACACCTACTGCGTGCAGCACACCTACTGCGTGCAGCACACCTACTGCGTGCAGCAGACGGCAGACGGCCTGCATACGTGGCCTCCCGGCGTGGGGGCCTGGGGCGGGAGGAGGCCAGCAGGTGCCCCGACCCGGCCCTCACCCGTGTTGAAGTAATAGCCCTTGTTCTCCAGGCCCAGGGTCCACACGCCGCGCGGGTCCTCGTCCCAGAAGTGCGGGGACATGAAGACCCAGCTGTCATAGCCCTGGCCGCTGACGTCGAAGGGCCTGCGCAGAGTGGGGAGACGCAGGGCTGCAGTCAGTCCGTGGCCACAGCAGCATGGGTGGGGAGCGCTGGACCCGCTCTCCGGGCGTTTATGGACCGGGCCTCAGTGGGCGTGCACCTGATAGCCACGAGGGTGGAGCGGGTGCCCATGGGGCTGGTGAGCGAGATCTCCAGGTCCCCGCGGCGGCTGTAGGTCAGCGA